CCCTCCACATACAGAGGTGTTTGTCTGAGTTGAGCCAGCTCTTGAATGCCTAAGATTATATAATTCCCATGAAGCCTGCAGTGGGGCCCTTTCCGAAGTAACAAAGTAGCATTTTAAGAATCCCAAGCTAGAGAGCCCAGCCTCTAGATGTGTAACTTGGCTGTGTGTGAGCTCTTTTCCCTGTGCTGCCTGTTTTGTGTTATAAACCCATCCGCTACAGTCATTTAATGGCAGATAACACAGTGTTCGCTTTAGATAGGAGCTGGGGAGGAGGGATGGTGGTTGCAACGAAGTAGAGGGTAAATGGCTACACTTCGTTTATAGTAAAATGCTCCATTTCAGTGCTTTATAGATGATGCTGCATGTTCAGAACAGGCAGGAGCTCTGCGAGGCTAGCCCAGTGTGTGGTGCATGAGAATACTCTTCCTCTTAGATTTGAGTCTGGAGCAACCAGTTCTTCACATTTTGGTACATAGTTTTAAATAAGAATTGGAATTTATTGACATTTTCTTATACTTTATGTTTCTGGCATGAAAATCTATCCCCCTGAAAGTGTTTACTTGAAAATGGAAGTTAATGTTTAAAAATGTTGTGTGAATAAATATAAAGAGAATGCAAATAATTGAGTATGTCTGGAGGGGTAGACGGGCTATCTTAACTTTATATTCTGTTTAAGTGTAACCATCAGAACACCTTAATAAAATCTCAGTTGAGGGAGGTTTTTAACTTAAGTTTAGCAACCAACATCTTTGTTCACACTGCCTAATAAAAAATACAGTCTCTTAGCCCAGCTGTCTGGTGGCTACAGTTCCCTCCCTAGGTAAATATTCCCTGACATGTTACCAATTGCAGATACTTGATACAAGATTGTAAGTTCTATATCAACTTAAAATTTTCCTCAGGCAAGACTCCAAGTAGAAATGTGAAGAAAAAATGTGAACAAATGTATTCTTTGCAAAATTGCCACAATTATCAATGGTTTCACCTTTTTAATGCCTTATGGCTTAGTTTATATTTGTATGGTAAGTACCTACTGTAAATCATATGACTGGTGAAGAATTTACTTTCAATTCTTTGTCTTGAGCTTGTTTTCTTCCAAATATGGCATCAGCCTATAGGAGTTCATGCTTTTGAAGCTCCAGCCTTCAAAAAGAAATTTTAACTTTGTATTAACCTTGTTCTGTTGTGGAGGGGAAAACTATGAAATGAAAAGTTTGAACCCCTTTGGAGAACTGTAACTCAGAGTTACTGTCTCATACATTGTTGGTATTATGGTAAAAGAGTTTAGAATTTAAAAAAATCCTAATCATTTTTAATATTTGGAAGATCCTGGTAGTACATGTTTTAAATCTTAGTTTCTTTTTATAGTTTTTCTTATTTATATAATAAAGAACATGTGAGAATTCAGTATGAGAAATGTGCTCTTTGTCCACAGAAAAAGCACGTCATTTGAACTTGGCACTTTGTAGTAGATGGATTTTTAGCAGCCTATCAATTCCAGGCACTTCTAGCAGCGCTGGATGTTCACATGTCCTTGGCCTTTATTCCTGAATTCCTTGGAGGCTCTCAGGCGCCTGGGTCCAGCCAGTGCAAAGGTATTTGAAGGGAGTATTCCTTCTCCATGCCTTTGACTAAGAGAGCCTTCTGGGAGCTGAGATTCCCAGAACTATACTGCGGATTTCTGGAAAAGAGTCCTCTCTATCCCAAAAGCCATCCCAGGCCCAAGTTTCAGATTTGGAAAGCTTGGTGGAGAGAACAGCAGAGTGCATGCCTGGGAACTTCAAAGAGAGCATAAGTTCCTCTGTAACTTTTTATTGGTCTGCTGTTGCTATTATTAGTGTGTCTGGGGTGGTAATGATTCTGTGATACACATTCAAGTTTGAAAAGAACTGATGATCTTCACTTTCTTTTGCTCTTGGATTTTGACTTCTCAGATACAAAGCAGGGGTCTCAAAAGTGGGGCACACGTACAGCAAGCCATTGGAAAGCCGGAACACTACACCAGAGCATCTATTTGTATTTATTTTAAAATCATCCTTTACATTTTTTTAGTAGGTTTTATGATGTGTTGTTACAAAATATATCACGTATAATACTTTGTTACAGTACTGGTACAACTGTTCATATACACAATTAAAAATCAATTTTCATGTATGGGAGGTACTTGGACAACCTGAGGTAAGTTGCTTAAGTGCTTTGAAACATCTCAGTTTTTTTTGTATATAAAATGAGAGTATTATACCTATTTCTCAGAGTTGTGAAAATGAGGTGAAATAATAACATAGAAAGCCTTAAAGCATAGAAAGACAATGTCTGGCATATATGTGGTAAGCATTCAGTAAATATTGGTACTGTTATCACTGCAATGGGTAAATGGGAGTGGTTTTTCCTATGATATCTTGCAATATTGCTGTAACTTTCAAAATTGTTTTATAAGCCATGTACCTGGTAAGGATAGTCAGTGGTGCACTAAAGTCTAGAAAATGAGATTCCTTTTTTTCCTCTATATTTTTCACTTGAAATTAAAGTATTTAAGAACACTTGTCGCCTCGTTTGAAAGGTTTTTAGAGGCAGCCAGCTCTCAGCTCCAGACAAATTCTTTTTCTATCTTTCCTTTTGCACATATACAGTGACCGTTTATTACTCAGAAATCTTACTAACTGGTGATTTGTCTTTATGGCTTGGTGTGCCCTGGGCCAGGCTGAAGCTATTGGAGAAGGAAAAAAAAGTTTGAGTCCAAATTGTATTACAAGGGTGTACATTATTTTTGTTTAAAGATTTTATTGATTATTTTTAGAGAGGGGGGAAGGGAGGGAGAAAAGAGGGAGAGAAACCTTGATGTGTGACAGCAACATCGATTGGCTGCCTCCTGCACAAGCTTCAGACAGGACTGGGCCTGCATCCCAGGCATGTGCTCTGACTGGGAACCCGACTGGTGACCTTTCGCTTCGCGGGATAAAGCTCAACCACCTGAGTCACACTGGTCAAGGCAAGTGTGCATGCTTTTGAAGAAGAAATGGGAGGTAAGTCACATAATGTGAGATTGAAAAGTGTGCTCTTGTTGCAACTGAAGTGATGATAAATGGCTATGCTCAACGAAAAAAACTCTACTTCCAGAACTAGGGGCACATTGTATCCGTATTGTGTGCCTCATTAAGACCAACCTGAGACAATTATCAGAAAACACCAGATCACTTTTCATTTAACGCTATACTGATTGAGTTTTCGTCTACCTCACCAAATGTAAACCTCTTGAGGTCAGGGACCATGTCTATCCTGTATTCCTAGTATATGTTTTGAACCTTAGTTCTTTTTTATCTGAAATGGCATTATGTGGTTCCTTGCATTCAATAAATACCTGTTGAACTGACTAATCACTTATCCACAGTGATACAGCTAGGAAGTGGTAGACCTAGAATTTAAAATCACAGCTATACTCACCTAGTAGCTCATTTAATTGCACAGCCCTCTTCAAGGAGGACATTATCTTCGTAGCAGTCATTTGCCCAAGGTACCAAAGGAGTCAAATGGCAAAATGGCATTCAAACCCCGGAATATCTGACTTCCCTGTTACTTTGGCTTCTTCTCCACTGGGCTTGTAAATCATTTGACCTTGTTAATACGAAAGTTTTTGTTACATGGTTTTATATACAAATGCTATTTCAGATAAAAGTTAAGAGTTATGGATCTGGAATAGTGATGTGGTATGGGAAACAACAATGCATTCTCAAATTCCATTTAAAAAAGAAGCCATGCTTTAGAGAGAACATTTTAAAGAAGTTTGTTGAAAGGATATTTATTACGCCCTAAACTAATGTGTACACATTTTAGCTCTTTTATATATGGGTATTTTCATTTTATATGTAAGTAATACTAGTGTGACCAGTCTTGTTTTCTGGTATTTCATAGTAGTTAGAATGATTTAAAATCAAGTTATGGAACGCTGCCTGCCAGAAAATGAATGGGCCTGCCTGTTTTATGTACTGAATTTGATTTGGCTCCTGGCTTGTGTGTTCATCCAGAAAAGTTGCTCCTCCTTTCTTTCCTACTGACAGTAGAACTTGGCCAAGGAACTTGCTCTGTGGTCATGTTTGAGCTTGGTGCTGAGATCATCTCCTCAAACACTGATTGGGCAAAAAGGACAGGCTCCCACCTCTAGCCTCTTTGTACTTACAATCAAATGTCTTCCTCTCAGCAGCCTTCCTAATTCTAGATACTGGCCTCTCTGACATAATCAAATTCATAGAAGGAAGAACTGGGGAAACTAACCCCTTCTGCTAAGTGATTTATATGGGGTGACTGATATGCCAGAAATCTCAACATACGTAACTACATAAAAGGGTGGGCGAGTTTGTAAGCAAACTACTTTTTGTCTCATCCTTTGATGATGAAATGAAGAATATGGCAATTCTGAGGAGGTCATGGATGTAAAAACTTTAAATTATAGGGTGTCCCAGAAGACCAGGCATTTCATTATCACAAAGTCCTAGACCCCAGGATCCAAACACCACCTGCCAGAAAATGAATGGGCCTGCCTGTTTGCAGGTGGAGGTCTCACTCTACCCACACATAAGCAACTACAGGGCAGAGGCTGAGTCTTCAATATTCTTGGAGCAGCGCCTAGCACAGTAAGAAAATAAATCTGTGCCAACAGCGCTCAAAAGCCAGGAAGAGACTGCTGGATTCAAATCCTGATTCCACTGTTTACTAATCCTGTAATCTGAGAAATGGGTCAGTAGTAGTTCAGCATCACAGAATTGGGGTGAAACAACTCACTGAAGTTATTTCCCTTTTGCCGGGTTCCTCCAACCCGGCTGCAGCTCCTGTCCGCCAGACCCTGAGACGCTAGAGCTTAAGCCCCGCCTCCTGCCTGTCCCCGCGACGCGCAAGCGCATCCTGGCTTCCCGGTTACTTCCCCCCCAAGCTCTTAACCCTGAGCTTGCGTGCTGGTAGTCGGCGGGAGATTGGATCTCGCGATGTGCGTGCGCGTGCGTGGTTCACGCGAGCTCGCGCACGCCCCACCCCGCCCCCTCTCAGTAAGGGGCTGTATTGGCCTCTTTGGCGTCCGGGCAGGACCCTGAACTGTGGCCTCAGCTGGAGTCTGGAGCCATCCTCCACCGCGCCGCCACCGCCCTAACTGCCTGCTACTCTGCCTTGGGCTCTTCGTGTCGTGCAGAGGCGGCGGGCTTGGAAGGGAGTAGTGCAACGTGAGGTTCGCGGCCGATGGGCAGCCCCTGGGCGTGCTGAGGGGCCGGGCTACCGGCGGCTGAGGTAGGTGGACGCGCGGGGAGTTGTCAGCTCGGCTGGGAGTAGAGTCGGGGCCGCGGGCGCGGGCTCTCGTGTAGGAGTCAAGGCGGTGACGAGAACGGGGCCCTGCCAACTGGTGAGGCGAGGTCTCGGACCCGCGCCTGAGGAGGAGCTCTGGCCTAGCCCGGAGCGAGAGGAGGGGCCCTGGCCGTAGCCTCCCCTTCTCTGGGCTTGGAGCCATTAATGGGGGGGAAATTCCTTTGCTGCGGGCGGGAGGGGTCATCCTTTTCCCTCAGAGGTCAAAATCAGCAGCCCTCTTCGACTGGGACGTCGCGATGGAGTGGCTTGTGGACTTCTGCAGCTTGCACAACTCCGAGTGTTCACTCGGCGGGCGGGAGGTTTCGATTATGGAGGGCGCACGGCCCTTTCTCTCAGCGTGGGCGTGTATGGTCTGCAAAGTTGTTATTGTTAATACAGTAATAATCACTTTCAGGCACAACAGGTACTACGTTTCCAAAGGCCTGCTGTCAGCTAAGGATTCTGGCAGCGGCGAAACTGCGCCGTGGGGCACAATCAAGGAGTGGAAAGAAGACAAAGGAGGCCGTTATACGCTCTGCCCTAGTGTCAAAACTTTCCGTGGTGGGCAGGACGCGGAGCTATTGGCATTTGTTTGGTCTTTGCTGCGTGGACTTTTCTGGGTGATTGAGGTGGGTGAGTCACAAATGGACTTTCATTTAGAGGTTTAAATTCGTGTATGATCCTGTACAATTGTTCAAAGCCAAATGATCTGAAATAAATCTCTGAGAATTATGTGACATTGGATCTTTGGAAGAGGGCAGAACTTGGAATTCTCAAAAGCAAGGTTTTCTCCGAGTTTAGAAAGCTTCATGAATGTTTTGAAAGTTACTAAAAATATAGTTCTTCACGTTAGCAGTACTGACCACCACCCCTCAAGCGGAGGGAAAGAAGTTATTTCGTAAAGAACAGCTCACGGGAAGACTTTAGGGGCTACACACACCGTCAGAACAACTCCAGGGATGGCAAAGTTTAGTGTATGCTTTAACAATTCTAACTTAGTCATAGTTAAAATATATGGAAGCTTAGTTGGCTCCCTTATATTCAGTGAACTATTTTAATAGATAATTAACTGTTGGTAGTCCACACACACTGTGTTCTGTAATGCTTGTCTTTCATTAAGTCCAAACTTTCTAGAAAAGTGGTATTAATTCCGACGTATGAAATGCGCTCTGGGCACTTTCAGTAAACTCTATGTAGTGTGGGAAGAGTCCTTCAAGAAAGAGCAGTGAGCTGGCAAGCCCTGAAGTGGGAGTAGGGAAGGATTGTTAAGTGTAGGATTAATGCTTGTATATACAAATACGGCGTACTTACGCTTCCATGTAAATAGTTTACATACACAAGGATCTAATGGTGCAATCTTAACAGGTCGAAATCTGAAAGTAGAAAAAGATTGGCTTTAGTTCTGTTTCCTTTTTGAGATAACTGTTTACATGGGTAACTGTTAAAATAAATTTCTGGCCCAGCTCGTTCTGTAGTTATGGAATAAGCAAAATACTGTACTGCTTTCTTGGCAGTAGTGGGGAAGGAAAATACAGAACATATAGAAAACTGCCCTTGGAAATGTACTGTAAGTCCGTGTGTCATTGTCTTTTTGTTGGAATAAACAGCTTTGCTCCTACTTTCTGTATTAGTGCTTAGAATATTGTTTTGCACGGGATTGGTCCTCAGTAAATGCGAGCTTTGTCAGAGGTAAATTAACATAATACAAACCAAATGCATACATTTCTGGAAAAGGCTAAAGGAATTGGGGAAGGGTACTTTTTTTTTAATTGAATGACTACTTTATTTTTTTAATTGGGAAAGTTTTTTTTAAAGATTTTATTTATTTACTTTTAGAGAGAAGGGAAGAGAGGGAGAGAAACCTCAAACTGTTGCCTCTCCCAGGCCTCAGGGAGAAGGGGGTAGAGTTTGCAACCCAGGCCTGTTCCCAGACCCAGAATCCAGCCTGAGGCCTTTCACTTTGCAGGAAGACACCCAACCACCTGAGCCACACCAGTCAGGGCAGGACTACTTTTTCAGTGTTGTTGTTGTTGTTGTTTTCCCAGTGTCGGTTGGTTTCTGAGTAAAGGACGTCTAACAGCATCTTGACTCTAAAAGTCTGATGTTCATGTGGGAGCATTTGAAATCTTGCTTTCCAGTTTATGTCATAAGTTTGGCTGAAATAGATTCTTATAAGAGTTTTCAAATAAAATAAAATTCTAACATAAATGTTAAGTTGAGATTCTATATATCCTGAATGCTAATAGATTGTAAATGTTCTGATATATTAAGAAAAAAATGAAGTTTAAGTAGAGTCCAGAGGAAAGATATTGATAAGTGAGTGATAGGAACTTAAAAGGCATGAACTATAAAACAGTGAAACGGATTGTAGGGAGAAAAATTTTCTCCCTTTACTGGCAGTGCTTCCTGTGGAAGAGAATTTGGACCTTTCTGCCTCTTTTTACTAGAGCTTTCCAGAAGGGTGGTTTCTGAATAATAAAATTGAAAAAGGGGTCACCTTTTTCTCCTACAATATTCTGCTCAAAAGTCTGAGTGTGTTTTTCTTTGTATTTGTGATTGGTCTCTATTCCATCTTTATTGGAAAAAAACTAGTGTTTTGATTCCTATCTAATGCCTGTGCATATTCCTCAATTAGCTTATAATGTGGAGGGAAGAAGATTGTGGGTGGTCCCTGCACAAATCCCAATATTGGCTTTTCTTCAATTTGGAAAGCAAAGCTGTTTCACTTTATAGATCTTATCAACAGAAAGGTTTTGTGAATGTGTGAATAGGTAGGGGCTAAAGAAGTAAATAAAAACTTAAACAGGAGTATTTTAAATTAACTCCTGTATTTTCATTTTAGTATAGCTGAGGGATTCTCATTGTAGGGGGTGGATTTTGTCCCACAAGGAATATTTGGGAATGTATGGGGAAATTGTTGGTTGTCAGAAATTGGGAGGAGAAAGAAGAGGGTGTAGTTACTAACATCTGCATAGAAGCCAGGGATGCTGCTAGCATTTTACAATGCACAGGGCAACCCTCCACAACGAGGAATTACCTGACCCAAATAACAGTGCTACTGTTGAGAAACCCTGCTTTAGTTTTACGCTATACTGATATTGTTGGTTCTGAAGGCAGGTGATCTTGATTCGTATTTGGCTTTACCATTTCCTAATGTGTGACTCTGGGAAGTTGCTGAAGTCTGCAGTCTGCCTCAGTTTCTGTTAAAACAGAGTTAGTAATCGTGTGTTCCTCATAAGAGTTGTGGTGATGATTAAATCAGGTAATGTTCAAAGTGTAATCCTATTACCTGACACATAGAAAATGCTCAAAAACTGTTAACTTTCTGCTAATGTTAATACATTTTGAACACATCTTGATGATCTCTCCTTATTTCTCATCTGAAATTAGAAATTGAGCTAGTGATAATTAGTAATCTAGTTCTCACTGTATCCCTGGGGAATGAGTAAAGAATTACTCCTTTATATTTGTGTTTAGCTCATTATTATTCTGAAGTCTATAAGGCTTCTGTCATAAACAAGTGGTTTCTCATTGTCATTGTTTTTCCTTGATAGTTAAGACTTTAGTCAGCTGGCTAACAGCTCTGTATCTGATGATTTTCAGCAAATACTCAGTAGTTTAACAGAATTCAATTATGTGACTTGATCCCCATTTCCTTTGGCCTTTATAAACTGAAATAAATTTTACAGTAGTTTTGATCCCCATTTCCTTTGGCCTTTATAAGCTGAAATAAGTTTACAGTAGTTTTGACTCACATTAATTATCTGTTTTTTTGCCTCTGGGATGTAACTACTTTTGTGAGGTTTTGGTGTGGTTTTGCATGTAGTAAGGGTATAAGGAAATACACCCTTATGCCCTTCATGTACATTTGAGACTCTTTATAAATCTGAATTGGAACCCATATATTTATCTCTTCATTTTCTGTGTATTTTAATGATATGGCTGTTAGGCCTGGTTTGTTACAGTGGTGGTGGTAATACTGCCTTTATAAAGAGAAAACAAATCACAGGGTTGCCCTCACAGACAAAACAGAGACTTTGGACTATGTGTCACGGGGCTCTTGTGAGGGAAACATATCCATATCCTATTTGTGATCAAGGGAGAAAGCAGTGTTGTACATTCAGCTTTTTGTCTTAATAACCATACCTTCAAAATAAAAAGTATTTGATTATGGTTTTTACCCATACTTTTATAATATAAATCTCAATTGTTTGTGTAAGTGTTCATTTTAGCTAATGGAAACCTTTGTTTACCCTTTATATTGGTACTGCCTTCAGTTTGAATAGAGTAGTTTGAAGGAAGTCCAGACATTAGGCCAAGAGATTGTATTCCTTGTTTGGTACATTCCATCTTTTGTAAAGTGTAACATACACTCAGGATTCTGTATAAATAATAAATTGCAGTAATGATGAGTAAGTTGTGGAAACTGGCCAGATCAGAAGTGTACATGTGAGAAATACAATAAAAGGCCAAAGACAGACATTCTAAGAACGTTAGGCAAACTGAAAGAAAGAATCATGTTAATAAGAGTTCTTGTCTTTACTGTTATCCTTTTGGGGTTTAGTGATCTAAAGAAAAGAGGATATAGACTATATAGGAATATAGAATATATTCCTACAGAATATAACAGATTTATTTTCTACCCATGCACATTTTAATTTCCTAAGCAGAGAATATCATAGCTACTATATCAGTATTATTGTTGAGTTTATATGATGTTTGTCTCTACCTGTGATTAAACTGAGAAAAACAAGTATCTTTGAATCTGCTGATGTGTGTTTGTTTATAAGTGGTCTGGAGTCCTGCCTGTTCAGCCTAATTTTAGGTAGCCTGCGTAGTTGTTGGAAGACAGACTGTTTTCCTACTGAATGCTGTCATACAGATACATATTTATATATGTGTGTTTATGCATATTTGTATTTTATTTTTGGTAGAAGATGATGCATCCCGTCGCCAGCAGTAATCCGGCTTTCTGTGGGCCCGGCAAGCCTTCTTGCCTCAGTGAAGATGCCATGAGAGCTGCCGATCAGTTTGACATATACTCCTCCCAGCAAAGCAAATACAGCCACACAGTCAGCCACAAACCAATGGCTTGTCAGAGGCCAGACCCATTAAATGAAACACACTTGCAGACTACAAGTGGCAGAAGCATAGAGATAAAAGATGAACTAAAGAAAAAGAAAAATCTCAATCGATCTGGTAAGCGTGGCCGGCCTTCTGGAACTACCAAATCAGCAGGATACCGGACCAGCACAGGCAGACCCCTGGGAACCACCAAAGCAGCTGGATTTAAGACAAGTCCAGGTAGACCTTTGGGTACAACCAAAGCTGCGGGATACAAAGTCAGCCCAGGGAGACCTCCAGGTAGCATCAAAGCCCTGTCCCGTCTCGCCGATCTTAGTTATGGCTGTGGCACTGCTGCTTTTCCTTACCCTATGATGCATGGCAGAGCGGTGCACGGGGTGGAGGAAAACAGCAGCGACGTCAAGCCACCCAATGAGTGAAGGAGGCAGGAAAGGAGGGCCAGGTTTAAAGGAAGAGTGTGAATAATCCCAAAGCTTCTTGGTTTTATTTTGACATACATGATTTTTTGGCCTGGACTTTCCACATTTGTTTTCCTGTTTGTTTGCGTGGTTTTTTCCCCTACCCTGCTTTTGCTCAAAAACCGCCATATGCTGACCGACGCACTCAGGGCATGAGCAGTGGCTTTGAATTTGTACATAGGTTCAAGTGTAACACCTAACTAAATCATTTTTGCTTTTTCTTTAGAGTATGGTTATGTCTCATATTTCATTACTACTTTTGGACTATTCTAAATAGATGCTTCATGTGCTAAACAACTGAAACCATTATACCTATTAGTTTGTGAAGTAAGCCTACAATATACTAAAGGTAATATCTAAGGTATTTTTAGTTGATGGAACAAAACAAACTAATGATTCAGGATTGGTTGAAGTATGGCTGTGAAATTTTGTTCACAGTCCAGCGCTCAGTCCACTCAGCCACAAGAGTGTGGCTGTGAAATTTTGTAACAGGTATTTTCATGAGACAAGGCACAGATACTTGTATGCTTTGGCATTTACATAGACTTTAGATGTTAAAATTTTTATTTTTAATGTTCTAGGTTTACGCAGCTTCTTATTTATTGATCTAAATGGCATTAGTTGATTTAACCATTGTTCCCAAAGGAATTATCTAGTGTTTGCTTTTCAGCAATGATAGGTTGTATATTTTTTAATTGCCTAAGATCATATATACCGAACACTACAAAATTCATATTTACAAAAAAAAATAAGCTTTTTAATAAAAACTGCACATTACATTATTGGTGAAATACGATGCATTCTGAGACTAGCATATGTAATATAATAGAAAAAGAAACATTCTTAAGGTTTGCATGGAGCTATATTCACTACATTTTGTTTTTCATATACTTAGTTTCTAAACATGCTTAAAACATTTATTATTACTCACATATTCAGAATGTTTTTAGTTTTTTTCTGAGAAATCATCCCGTTGCATTAGCACTTACTGTGGTTTCAGGTTTGGACACGAACTGAATGGAAGGCTGTAAAACTGATACAAACAACAAGCAGTTTTCTGACTGTCAGGACACAAATATTAAGAAATATAGGAATCCACCTATGCATGAAACATGTAAAAATAATGTTGGTTAGTTTTATTAAAAATCTAATTGTGGCTCCCTTCACCCCTTCACCCCAAATTTTTTTCCAACAGTGTTTGCTCTAGAAGCAAGGTAGTTAGAAAAGAAAAAAAATATCAGGTAGATATGTATAGTAAGGACAGGAGGAAATTTCTCTTGCCCCCTTTCTGAAAGTAATATTCTTTATTATTAATACACATTTTATTTATTCTGTTTGTTCTAAATAAACTATTATAATTTTTGGATTTGAAAAAAATTCCACTGAACTTCAAAGTTACAATGAACGTATTTGCAATTTAAAATGCTTTTGAGATTATAAAGTAGATTTGCAGGACCCCAAAACTTTTAAAATAATTAAAAGTTTAAAAAGGCGCATATTGTGTTGTTTGGGCTTGCTCTCAGTTAGTGCAGACTTTGATTGCAAATGGATGTCATGTTTCATACCTTTTTTGTCAGGAAAAAAGCAGCAAGCCTTCAGGTGTTCCAGGGATGCCTGACGCAATGAGCAGGACATTTGTGCTGCTCTTTACAGTAAGAGGTGTTGCGTTGTATGTGGGAACTGTATGTGCACTGGCATCTGAGACATTGACCTCAGCAGTTTTAACTTTGCACAAACCATAGAGAACAATGTTGGGTGACTGCATAATCAGTTGCTACATTCTGGCAGCTAAATTGCTACATGAGTTTCTTCTTGCAGAAGCTTAAAATATAAAATTTTAATAATTTACTCAAAGCAGTATAACTTCTGACACACACAAATGCTTACATCTTTATTCATATGTTTTATCCACTTTTATGATGTCAGTTAGCTATTTTTCAAAGTGATGTTCAGCAGCTGACTGCTTAGAAATCCTCCTTTGAGTTCCCAAGTACAGTTGTTTGATTAAATGTTCTACTGGAAATTTGGTTGCATGTTGTGTTTTTCAGAATGTCCATTTGATATTGTCCTTTTGGTTTATTTTGATTCCTGATTTTGTTACACATAACCTTCCCTTTCTCCCTGCCCTTACCTACGTTCATTTCCCTGCACCTTTCCTCATCCTCCAGCACATCCAATCAGTGGTGCTGTGCTGTGTGTCAGAAGGTAAAGCAGGTGTATTATTGTATACTGAATTTTTTATACATGTTTAATGAAATGGTGAAATCAAGGAAGTATGTTCCTAACAGTGTTTATTAATATCAGGAGCTATGTCCTAGGGAAAAAAGGGAGTGAATGGATACTATCGTTTAGAAAGCTGAATTTTCTGTTCATTGTCAGTTACATGGACTATTTATTACATCTGTGTGCTGGTGAGCATCTCCTGATCCTACTTCCTTTTCTCCTTGTGAACAGTTTATCGGTGCCATGCTGAAGGGAAAAACTCCTCTGTGGGGGAGGGGGTATAAGGGACTAAACGGTAATAGACAAAAAATACAATAAAGGTTAAATTTTAAAAAAGACATCTAAATAATAACACGAAGTCTTAAAATATAAAATATTTTTACTTCTCTATAATCTAAAGACTACATTGTGCATCTTTTGTAACACTGTCTCTCGTCATGATAAACACTGAAATAGCATGTAAACAAATGCCTATACTTTAATATAATCACTTGGGGAGAACTGGATGTTTCTTCCCACAGTATGATTCTTCCTTTAAAGGTGAATTGCTACTTTTATATTGTATAATTCTCTTCACAAAATAGGTTTCACTATGCTATATTAAAACTGTTGGTCAGAAAATGATCTTCTGGTCAAATAAATTTGCTTTACTTTTTTCTTTTAAAAAAATGTTTTAACATGCCTTATTTATTATTCTTATATTAACCAATGAGATAATGCAGATGAAATTTTCATCTTTTGACAAATATAACCTTGCATAACTAATCTTTAGTATGGGATGATTTTGATACTGTCTTTGGAGTTTTGCACTGGATATTAAAAAATACTGGCACGTTGTGTTGGAAGAAAAATACTGGCTTAATTTTTCATATTGGGACTTTTTAAAATCATTGTTTCAATTAAGAAATTCTTTATATTTTTATTTACTTTTAAAAAAATCTGTTAGAGTAATAAAAGCAATATTCATTCCAAACTGATGTTGGTACAAATTTTACATGTATATTTTCATGAAATAAGAATAGAGATTAAGGAGGAAAAAAATATCTGAATCCACTTACTACATCCAGTGTAAGAAAAACCAGTGTATGAGCTAAAGAAAAAAAAAAAACAACACCACCTCTTTTATATTCTAAGAAGCTTTAAAAGATAATTCAGGGGATGTTGACGATAACTGCTACTTTGTCAGTCATTGTCTCTATATGCAGTAAAATTTTATGATCCCTTTATAGTAAAATAAAAGAATTCACAGCAGTTGTTGAAAACATTTTTCCTTGGACATAAAATATTTTAATGCTATTAGGTTTCTGTTTTTATTATAGCTTAACTATATCCTATTAAACTCTAGGGTGTATCTAAATCTTTATTTTCCCCCCTTCACCTCCAAGTAGATAAATCTGTGCTCTCACATACAATGTATTTAATTTTTGGAAAATTTAATGCTGTAGTAAATCGTGTGATTTATAGTAATCAGACCACTTTGACTCTTTAAGTTTCACCGTTTCCTTTTTCCACAGATAACTATGGAGAAAATAATTACCAATTAACTGATATAAGCACGCTGTCCTCTGCTGTAAAAAGTCTGAATAGATACTGTGTATGTTTTTATGTCCATGAACTTGAGCTACTCGTGTGCAATTATGTGTATGGGAATGGAGTAGTGTTCATGATTTGTATCTACATCATCATATGGATGTATATTTATTAATAAAGTCATTACTTTAAAACCAACTTGTTTACTACTTTATTTAAGTATGGGAATGGTAAATAATACACATTTTTTAATGACCATGGATCTTATATTTTTTTCTTGGATTGTGCTTTAAGTAAAAAACCATTTTAAGTAGTAATTTTCCCAAGCTTTCGGCGAGCCTAATAAAGTCAACAAACTTCAGTAACTATTGAGCACATACTGTAGTGTGGCAGCTCACGTACTGAATAATGCACAGTCTCTACCCTCAAGGAATCCCTGGTAGAAAACAAATGCCTTAACACATAAAACTTAAATAATGTGGTGCCAGTTTTTATTCATTCTGAGTTGACACTTTAGCATACTTTATCTCTCAAACTAGCTAATTAATTTTAGCACAGAATCTGTGAAGCTACAGTTCATCTGCCTATTCCTAAGCTTTAGACTACTTTTTAGATGAATTTCCCACAATGTTATTGTGATAACATTGTCTTTTAATCATGTTGGGAGCTACACAATGTGGCTGTTGTACTTTCTCTGTTGCATGAAGAAAAACAGTAACTACATCATGTTAGCATCCTCAGTATGCCATGCTTAGAATGGCTGATAATGAAACTCATGATTTATTTTAGTAACTATAGGTCAGTCATAAAAACCCTTCCTAGAAACTTCTTTAACTTGACCTTATCTGGGTAGCACTTTATCTGCCCTTCCATTCTAAATGAAAGCTTTGCTGGACAGAGTAATCTTGGATGGAGGTCTTTGCCTTTTATGACTTGGAATACTTCTTTCCAGCCTCTTCTTGCTTGTAAGATTCCTTTTTCGAAATCAGCTGACAGTCTTATGGGAACTCCTTTGTCTCCTTTTCTCTTGCTGCTTTTAAGATTCCTTACCTTTAACATTGGGTAATGTAATGATGATGTGCCTTGGTGTGTGCTTCCTTGGGTCCAATTTTGGGGTTCTCTGAGCTTCCTGGACTTCCCGGAAGTCTATTTCCTTTGCCAGATTAGGGAAGTTCTTCATTAGTCTTTCAAATAAGTTTTTAATTTCTTGCTCTTCCTCTTCTCCTTCTGGCACCCCTATGATTCAGATGTTGGAGCATTTAAAGTTGTCCCAGCAGTTCTAAGTTTCTTCTCATTTTCTTGAATTCTTGTTTCTTCATTCTGTTCTGGTTGAATGTTTATTTCTTTTTTCTGCTCCAAACCATTCATTTGAGATTTGGTTCCCTTCTCATCACTGTTGGTTCCCTGTGCATTTCCCTTTAATTCACTTTGCCTAGCCTTCACTCTTCTATTTTGTGACCATACTCAACCAATTATGTGAGCATCCTGATTACCAATGTTTTGAACTGTGTGTCTGACAGGTTGGCTGTTTCTTTACCATTTAGTTGTATTTTTTCTGGAGCTTTGATCTGTTCTTTCATTTGGGCCATTTGTGTGTGTGTGTGTGTGTGTGTGTGTTGGCACGCCTGCTATGTAGTCGGGTGGAGCCTTAGGTACTGGCTAGGGCAGGGCAACCCATGATGCTGTGTCTTGGTGCTGTACATGGGAGAGGGGTCCAGAGGGAACAATGGTGCTTGCTCTGCTCTCTGCTGGCTCCCAGTCATCTCCTCCGCTACCCACAAGCAAGCTGGGCCCTTCTGGTGCTGATTCCTGAGTGGATGGGTTTGTGTATGTTCTAGGACCCTGTGGGTCTCTCCAATGGACTCTCCTGTGAGGCTGGGAGTTTCTCCCGCTGTCACAACACCCACAGGTGTTTTCAGTCAGAGGTTTGAGGCTTTATTTCCCCACTGGGGCCCTGGGTTATGAGGTCTGTCTCACTCCCCAGTTCTTCCTCCCAGTTTATCCGCACGTAAATGTGGGACTGCCCGATCTGCCAGCCGCCACCTCTCCTGGTCGTCCAGCCACAGCCAGACCCACCCTGGTCCTCCAGTCACTGCTTGCCCCAAGTCCTCTCTGTCCTGGCTGCCCGTCTCCGCCCCTCCTGCCGGTCTGTATGAATGTTTCTTCTTTAACTCCTTGGCTGTCAGACTCCCATAGTTTGATTTTCTGGCAGTTCTGGTTGTTTTTTGTTATTAAATTTGTTCTTTTTTGGTTGTGCGAGGAGGCACAGTGTGTCTACCTATGCCTCCATCTTGGCTGGAAGTCCTAAAAACCATTTTTTTTTATGTCAGTATGAATTCATGGATTCTAATGTGAAGTATCTCTCGCTATTGATATTATTTATTCTTATGCTCGAATTGTTCCATCTTTGGGTAGTACAAACCAGTTTGGCTCCTTAATCATGTTGACATACCCCTAGTATGATAAAATGTCCCAGACTCACAAAAAGGTCTTCTGACTCAGCAAGGCAATTTAGGGAAGCTGTCTTGAATTTTAGAGTGTATGTGATTTAGAAGAAATGTCCTCTATTTTTAAAAATTGCTGTCTTACAAAATACAGAAACTATTTGTAAGAATCCTTATGATGACACTTTAAAATTTTTTTTTGTAAACAAAGGATACTTAAAGAAAGAGGTGGGGTCAGGAAGGAAAGCAAAGAAAACCAAAAGTCACTGGTTTGAGGTACTGTGTTTCAGTCTGAGATGTTTCTAGTAAACGAATTCCAGGGCATCCCTCTGAGCAGGTGTCAGAAGTGTGAGATACCACTGAGCATATTCCTCTTGTTTTCAGATTGCAGTCCTTCCTGCACACGGAGGTCTTCCTCACACCCAGTGCCCTGTGCTGGCAGAGGATCCTCCCAGCCTCCTCCTCTCTCTCACCCCTGCTGTGGCGCCCTGCAGTGGCTTTCCAGCGCAAACAAGCAGCACTTGGAGAGAGGCTTACTCTCTTCACAGTAGTTGGTGAAGTAATATTTTTGTTGCAGTCGCTCACATGAAACCAGATATTGTTGACCTATGTCTGAGTCCTGATTTTGAATAGGTAAGTTGAATACTGGTAAGCATTGTTCCAGGGCACTTCCCACCTATTCCCATGGCCTGTTGGGTTCATCTTAATTTTATTTCTGTAATATGCCACTTTTCTTTGTTTGTAGCAAAATACATTGGATTTAGAGGTGGACCTAGATTTGAGTCCCTGCACACTCACTAGCTTATGACCTTTCTCAAGTTGTTGCTTAATTTTTCTAAGTTTCAGAAAAAACTTTGGGCTTGTGGTGATAATTAAATGAGAATACTACTTATGGGTAATTTGGCATACTGACAGAGTTTGAGTTGGGGTTCATATTCAGGACATGTCATTTAATGTGAGAACTTAGGCAAATTAGTATTTTATTTGCCTTATATATATTTATTTATTCTCATCTGAGGACATTTTTTCATTTCTGAGAGAGAGAGAAAAAAAAAAAAACATTGGTTGCCTTCTCATAAGCACCCTGACCAGGGATTGAACGGCAACCTGGATATGTGTCTTGACTGGGAATTGAACACGCAGTCTTTCATTTGACTAGATGATACTCCAACCAAGTTACACCAGCCAGGGCTATTTTCTTTATTTTTAAAATGTGTAACATATCTATGGCAAGGATATTTTAAGAACTTTGTGGGATATATAATAAAATATTTAACCCAGCACTTGGCATATGATAGTATGATAATTTTAGTTTTTGTTATACACTCAAAAAGGTCTTTTAGCCCTGGCTGGTGTGGCTCAGTAGGTTGAACACAGGCCTGCAAACCAAGAGTCACTGGTTCAATTCCCAGCCAGGACACACGCCTGGGTTGCAGGCTGGGCCCCCATTTGGGGCCTTATGAGAGGCAATCGATGGATGTTTCCCACATGGTTGTTTCTCTCCCTTGCTCTCTCCCCCTCCCTTCCCCTCTCTCTAAAAATAAAACATTTTTTAAAAAAGGTCTTTTAACAAAGTATCTTAATAAAATCAAAACAAATGCTCAAGTTTTAAGCTTGTAAATTTTCCCATTGATTTGGGCATTTCGGTGTTGGTAGTAGCAGAATGCCAGGCAGTATCGTGAGACACTCCATTAACCTTCCAGTGACCTGAAGGTTACCTGGAGTGGGGCTGGAGCAGGGTGAGAAGAGGACCACCAGCTGATGCAGGCATGCTCACTTGGAAAGCTTGGCTGTAAGGGTACTTCCAGCACTTGAATGATTTTATCTTCCTTCGTGGGAATTGCATGCACTAATTTTAGGACAAAAGATACGTGGTCTATTGCCCTTTTTGTAGTCATCATTTTGATGTCAGTTTTAATATTTTGAAGGTAGGGTTAGTGAATCAGTGTCTTCAAATGCTACATCGGATACAGTGTCAAACACAGTAAACTTAATTATAATTTAGGAATTTCTTCATTACTTTAGGATTCTGCGCTTTCTAAACAACTTTTGAAATCCTGTTTTAAGCTCAAGTGCCTCTCAAAAAAAGAAAAAAATCAGATTCAGTGAATTAAAAAGGGAAGGAAGAACATATTAATTAGATAAGTAGGTAATTAACCATTAGGTAATAGCTTGGATAGGGTTTCTTTAATTGTCATATTATTTATAACATCATCAAATGTTAACACTATAGGTATCCAAATCTTCCTACTCAGCTGTGGTAAGCCAGCCTCCCATACGTCTCGTGGTGATCCTCACTTCCTTGTATTGATACAAGGACATAAAAACCTGGGTAGTCCTTAGGCAGTCCGCTCCTACGTCGTGTAACCAACAGGATATTGCAGAAATAAGGACGTGTGATTTCTGAGGCTAGGCCATACAAGATACTGCAGGTTTGCGTGGCTCACTTGGTCCCGGGAAAGACGGCTGTTGTGTCACAAGCACCCAAACAGTCCTCCGGGGAGATCCCCGTGGTTATGAGCCCGGCGCTTCTGCCCACGGTCGCGTCGGCGTCAACTTGCTGTCTTGGAAGCAGACCCTCGCCCCCATGAAGCCTTCGGCTGACTGGAGCCCCAGCCAGGCCGCTCCCGAATTCCCAGCCCACCTCAATGAGAAATGATGGTTACTGTTTCCAGACAATCTTTTGGGGTAATTTGTTCCACAACAGTAGTTGACGAATACACTGATTGTAATGATTGTTAGGTTCTACCCAGT